AATAATTATTAAATACTTTGCTAAAATAAAAAATTTTTAATTTAATATATATCATTAATTTAATACATTGAATAATCTAATTATCCTAAAATTTATGTGTATAACATGTAACAAGAAAATGTTATGGTTTAATTAATAAAATATCTTTCAAAAAAAAATCTATAATATCCGAAATATCAAACTAATTAATATTAAAAATTAAAAGATTGTTGAGAATATAATATAAAACTGCCGTTAAAAGAAAGTCCATTCTAAAAATTGATTAAAAATTTATATATGGAAAGCTTCACATAATTGAAATTTATATACATATAGCATATAAATAATTTCATTTTGTGACAACTTCCTTTATTTCCAAAAATTGTCTGCCTTTAGAAAAGTTTTGTCATTTTAAGAAGCATAAAAGTTCAGTTTTATATATATAAAACACTGATATGAACAGAATGAAGAAAACTTAAACTAGAATTGGACATTGTACAAATGGTTAACAATAAGTTATCAAGCAGTTTTTCAACTTTTAATTACATCTCACTGTTTCTCACTTTACTTTTAAAGGTTACAGATATCTTTAATGAACTTTCCTCCAAGTCGGTGAATGTTCGACAAAGAAAATTTAACTGATTCTCTTAAGATTACTAATGATTCAATAAATGTATAATGTAATATCTATATCATAGACTTTTACTAGATTTCTGCAATGTAAAAACACATCTTTTTAAATTGGACATTTATAATCGTTAATAAAAATATCTTTAAACATTTCTCATAAAGAGAATTCATTTTTATAGAGATTTTATTTTATATAAGAGAAGGAGATGTTTTTTTACTTGAGAGATAATTTCGATATCGGAGGTATATCTTAGGAAAGAGTTAATAAATATTTGTGCAACGCAGACGTAAAAATACATATGGATACCTGGGGATGCCGGTCCCATCCTTGAGGGATAGCGGTATCCCACGAAAGCCGTAAAAAGTATCCCAATTTCTGCGAAAAGTTTTGCGTCCTGTGGGTCCCATTCAGCTCGCAAATACAGCTCGGGAAAAGGGAGTGTCCCTCTCACAGAGGTGAAGAAATTTTCGCCTCGCCCGGTCGAAGTCTTTGAGGAGACATTCGCTTTCGTATACATATCCCACATCATCCCGAATCTGACCAGAGAGGGCGGAAACCTGTTTCGGAGTTTCGGCGGATATACGGAAGCTCTGGATATGCCGGCGGCCGCCAAATCGTTTCCTTTGCCGTACGGATGACTGCAAAGAGATTATCCCCGTAAGCGGGAGCCTCACGAGCCATTTGATCGTTCGTTCCATTCCGATACGTTCGCGTCGGCCAACGTCGCCTTTGCCGCTCGCAGACGTTTCGCGCGGATCTCAGGGCCCGGTGTACTTTGCAAAACGAGTTTTGCCGCAAGATCACTGCGAGAACCCGAGAGAAAATATCGAAGCGAATAGGGCCGATATCGTATCTTTTTCCTTCTCCTTTGACGGGAACGTCTCAGGCAATCGCCTTATTTTTATCCGCAGACGCCGCCGAGAGCCGGGTGCTCCCTGCAGTTTTCGATGCGTAATATCGGAAGACGTATGAGGAGAAGCAGCAGTACCAGTCCAATTTTCTAGGAATATCTCGTTAATCGTGTGTTAAATCGAGCAGCATATTGCGTACCGCAGCGTGCTATTTTCGCTCGGATTTATAATGTAGTTTGGAATATCTTACTTTGTGTAGACGCGAATATAATCCATAAGAATCTAAACAATTGAATTTCCAAATATATATCACATTGATAAAATGTAAAAATTTTAATTTTATTTTTGTGATAAATCATATCGATTCATATTATTCAAAAATTCAGATTAAAAACATAATAGATGCTTACAAAAGTTTAGAGTAAATTAATATTTATTACAATAAATGCTTTAATGCTTATTATCAAGATTTAAATTATATATTAAATTTAATTTAAATTATATATTTAAAAAAGTAAGGATCAAAAATCCAGATTAAGTTGCTTGCAATAGCAATTTATAGAAGTTTTGCACATCTTAAAGACAATGCACAAATTTTGAAGTCTCTATACAATAAATCGAAAACGGAATTGCAGTTGTAAGATAATGCTATCCGCGAACAGTGGCATCTATAGTTATCGTGCACTTTAGACAACGAGTTTTGTCTCGTCGCGAAAAGTATCTGCAGGACGATATCGTATCTTTTCCCTTGGCTTTGACGAAAGTACTGTACAATCGATATCTTCCGATATCTGGTTCACGATACGTGCAGAAAACTAAATCTACTTCTAATAAAAGAAAGAAAATCTTTAAATATGCTTTGTAAATTATTTTTAATTAATTAATTTATAATGATAAAATATTACAATTTTTTTGAACACATGTATAACTCTTTTATATTCTTTCAATCAATGAAATATCTACATGTAGCAAATTAATATTTATTTACATATTTTCTGTGATTACGGTAAAAACATAACAAAATATTATTTAGTAAAGAACCAATATTATCAACTAATTTTAATTACACTTTAACGATTCCTGTTTCCTTCAATTTTAATTTTGAATAGAAATAAATAAATATTAAATTAATATTAACCTTAAATACATTTTTTAAGAAATAAAAAAGAAATAACAGTAGAAGAGGAAGAAAATATGTAAGTTTACGGTGTATTCCATATATTTTTTAACACAAAAATTTCCAACGTATCTCAAATAGATCCTTGATTTGTCATGCACGCTATGTATGTGACTTCATTTGGCTGGCATTACGGTATGCGTTTTCCTGATAAAATCCGACACGGCATAATTACTTAAACGTAGCGTAGTTGCTTTTTCATTTTCTCGAACATCTCCGGAAGTCCCCTCTTTAAGTACGACACTTTCAGCCGAGAAACTGCAAGCTGCGAGCGAGAGGAGAGGCATCACGGAGGGGCAACCGTGCCGCGGTAACTGCAACTGCTTCGCCAAGCACGCGGTCTACCGCAATCCGCGAGCGAGCGCAATGCGTGAGATTGCTCTTAGGTTGTCTGTAAGTGCATATATCCAATGCGGTTACGACATGTAATTATTTCATATAATTAAGCCCACTCGTAACGGCCAACCAGAAGTACGGGACGTAACCGCGATGTTAACGGGCCGAATGGAAAAGTGATGCGCGTTTTCAAAGAGCGGACTTAATTGCGCACGCAAACTCGTTGTGCTGTACAGAATGCCCGGGGTAATTCGTATAACGTCTATTATTATTTATGCCCACACTTTATTCTTCACCGTCGTACGTTATTAAATATTTATATATATATTTTATATATATATATTTTATATTTTTATATATTTCGTGTACATTAATTTGCATTGGAGGAAAGTTGAATCGAGCTTACAATTTATAACAA